TTACTTTAAGAGACAACGCTATCTCTTTGAAGCCTTTAAATCTTTGGCCTTTGACAAAATAGAGCTGTGCTACACGTCTACACAAGTGTCTCACCTGGATTGTTTGGCCAGGTGCACTTAAAAACTACCTAGTCACTAATTTTACTGCGATCTAACGCAGCAAACACAGCAAGGGAGGGGGTTGCATGATCTCAAGACAGATCAAGTGCTCAGAAGGCTCGCAGTATCAAGCAACACCGTAAGGCAAGGCAGTCTGAATCAGATTAGGTCAACTGGTACAGCGACCCATTTAATCCAGCGCGATCGTGTGAAGGTCTCCACGCGTCCATACAAATACCAGCCACGGCCAGTTTTGGTATCGATTGAGTCGACCTGGAAGGGTGCAGTCCGCCCTACTGACGGGTGCAAAAGGTGAGGAAGGTAGTAAACATCCGAAATCGGCGTACTTCCTCCGTTAGTCGGTCGTTTGAGCGCCCTTGGAGAGTTGATGTGGCATCAACAATTGAGTCGTTTCCACTTTACCACATTATCCATTCAGACTGGTACAAAAGCTGACTCCAGCTCGTGGATGTTGGACAGTGGGTCGAGTGTTTCATGTGACCGAAGCCCGTTACGTTTATTACACTAAGGTCTCACGAAGAGGCGTAAGCGACACACGCATTAGCGTGCGTCGACTGTAGATTAAATTCAACTCTGATTAATATTTATTTGTTTTATTCTAAGTCATTCTAAGTACGAGTGGTCTCTGAGCAACGAGTTTCACTCAACCAAAGGTCACGCCCTATCGGCTAATAATGGGTCCGGGTCCACTTATAAACAGTAAAAGACTTCGACACACTGTGACCACTACACTTGGCTATAGTGAATACCTACTGTGCATTGTATACGTACGTGGTAAAATTTAATGTTTACAAGTTAGAAATAATTTTCTAGCAAGTAGTGTAACGGTACACCCCATTACAGAGTGTGCCTTGTAAAAGTGTGAAAATACTCAAGAATGCAATTGATTGTAATTTATCAAGCCGCGCAGCAAGCAACACAATGTTTCGAGCGACTACGAAGAAATCGACCGACCTAAGGACGGCTGCCAATGGCAAGGAGATTATACTTAATCAAGGAAGAAATTTTAGCTGGACAAAAACCTCGCTGATAATATCATTTAAATATGGGATATTGGAAGATCGTGTTTCATATCTTGAGCGAGACGAAAATCAAAGCTATGTGGTGCGCGAGAAGGATGCTTTGATAATATTCGAGGAGTTCAACCGCAACAACGTTCTGCAGTTAACAAAATAAATGAGAGAACGAAGGAGGCGCGAGCTCGAGCTGTTAACTCGGTCTTGCTACAATCTTACCATTAAATTGATGAAGCTGCTTTGAGTACAACCTTTGTGAAGTTGCACCAAAGGCTTGATTACTTTTAATACGACGCTGTCGGTCGGCAGACTCAATGGGATCGGAAATACATTCCACAAAATACGTTAGGCCGAATTTTTTAAATATGTGCGGAGTTCAAACAAAGCAAAAAAAACTGGACTTAGAAGATACAAAGGAAAATGCGCTAATTGAAGGCCTTGATGGTGTGATCGGCAATGATATCAAGGAACCAGTGAAACCGCTAGATTGACGTGTTTATCGGTATCTAATCAACTTCGTTGACTACTCAAAAAAATGCATCCGCGTTTTTGTGGCCAAGAACAAGATTGAGGGGTCCAATAAAGTTAAAAATTTCCTGCCCTGATTCGAAAAGATTTCTAATTGTCGAGTACATGGGCTACGCACGGACAGTGGTAGGAGTGTGTTCTTGTCGATCAATTCTTTTAATCAGCCGGTGTAAGGCGTTAAGTGAGTGAGGCCTTAAATAAAGCATCAGTACGAATAGCAAAAAGGATGCAAAGGAATAAAGTCAACACGGCAAGATGTATGCTGTTTGCGAGCGGACTCCCTTATTCGTTTAAGGAAACGCCGTTGAGTACGCAAATTTAGTTTTTAATCGAAGCTCGTGTGTCATCAACCCTTAACGCCTAACGCTAAAGAAAAATGTTTACTGGAACGGTCCCCAACATGGTGGAGATTGCTACATTTGGTAGCTCCTGATCAGCGTTCAGGGATCCCAGAAAAACCCCGTGGAAGTCAAGATCTTAGGGTGGAATGAATATTGGCAAAAATAATGAGTAGAACGGGGTTACACGATTTTAACACCAAACGGTGTTAAAAGGGATATTGTCTAGTATGACAATATCCTACCAGTACAATTCGAGATGGATAATATTGAAGGAAAATTATCCCGGTTTAGGATAATGTATATGCGCTGCTCAAAGATTGGTTAATAAAAGACATGTCAACCACGGATTACCACCAATCGCTGCTAGACGCTCGCAATGAGTGGTGAGCAGGTTGTCGTCATGCGACGACGTAGTTTAACATAGTTAGATAAAGACTGAAGTTAAATTGATAGCTTAGCTATATTAAATCCAGTTCTCATTTTACCCTTCACTCAACATAGTTGTTGAGTAAATTAGCTTCCTCTGCACGTACCAGTGTACGTGAAGTTTCGTGGCACCCCAAACAAAGGGTACCCCGTTACAACGAGTCTAAGTAGGATGGAAATTGGCAAGAATAACGAGTATAAGTGGTTCAGAGTCTATCTGCCAAAGGTAAAATTGTGACGAATGCTCCGCATATTCAAATTGTTTTGACACTAAATAGCGCGCGAAACGTGTAGCCACAATTAAATACTGAACAAGAAGTTCCCATGCCGCGGCACGCCGACATGGATTGAGAAAATCTTTTCGAAAGTGAAAGAGCCTGAAGAGTAAAATAGGATGGTTTGACGGCAGACAAAATTTCAGTGTCGAGCAACAACTCTTTCTCAAACGAAGGAGATGACAATGACGTAGAGCGGCTGTCAGAGGATGGTCGGACGCAAGCTCAGATGTAGACACGCAACATGGGTACCAATCATGTACCGGTATATAGTCTAAATCGATTACAAAGAAGACACCAAGCAATATCACGAGGCAATACAGATTGTCGAGTCGAGCATTCGAAGGAGGCAATGCGTACATAGATTCGCATTGGAATAAAACGATACATGGACATTGATACGTTGGCCGCATGAAGCAGAAATATCATATGGTAAGTGGGTGTGTCAGCTCAAGGTGTACGCTAACGGCACTGTCGAAAGATCATAGGCGAGACTGGTGGCACGAGGAGATAAACAATGGTATTTATACTATCTACACTTGACAGTGATGGAAACAAGTTCTGGTAAGGTGATTCTTGCAGTGTCAAGGATCTGGGGAGTTCTGCGCGACACGGAGACGTGCCTAGCGCTTGTGCCAAAGCTGAAAAAGGAAACGGCTTGGAGTAACTCCTCCATATTCCGCAGGTTGTATAAATTGGGGCAGGGTAGTTTTACAAGTCTCGAGTGCAGGATGAGGAACATCTTGCTATGAGGCTAAAGAAGGGTTTGTACGGACATAATGTAACGGGGCACCCTGAAGCTTGTACTGGTGACAGTACAAGCTACTTATTCTGATAACAGAATAAGGCGGTGCCTCGTAACTTCACGTACACTCGTACGTGCAGAGGAAGACGGTAAGAAGAAGCGAGTACTTGGTTAGAGTAAAAAGTAGAACTGTATTTATAATAGTTAATGTCTGCAATAAATCACTATTTATCTTCATCTAACTATGTCTAAATACAAATGTGTAAATCAGTTATCTGCTCACCACTCATTGCGTGCGTCTGTCGTGGCGCGTCTTCGTTGTTTGATATAATGGCCTATATCAATCATTTAGGAACTACTCGTAAGTGCTACAGAATATTGTCCTTATGACAATATTCTGAGAATATAACTCTTATAGTTATATTCTATTAACAATTTCTTATAAATTGTTATGTAACGATTCACCCCGTTACATCACCCCCCCTTAACCATCAGTCACTTTAGTGACTGATTGACTAAATGGATACTCGTCCCAAATCATTTGGGACGGGGTTTGCACTTGTTGGTCCGCGTCCACTTTCCAACATCTCATCGCATGGTAAACAAGCCCATGCGATGCGCGAGCAAGGCCGCCGAGAGCGCGTCTGCACGTCTCTGTGCGGACGCCGAAGCAGAAACTACAGCAACTGATGTCCCATCGGTTGCTGAATCGACTCAGCCTGTATCACCTGGTGATGCAGGCGCTGGTCATGAAGACACTCGTGTCTTCACAGAGTACGAGCTCGGTGTCTCGTACTCTCCTGATACGGATGACGGATCCGTATCGACGGCAATTGAATCCAAGCCGCCTGCCAAGCGTGGCATGGACGATGCTTTGCGTCGCAGCATCTTTGGTTCATCTGATGAGTCAGATGAACCATCGCCGAAGCGAAGGCGCTCGAGGTCGCGAGACTCGGGCGCTAATAGTGGTGTCGTTTCTCCAATGGACACCACTTCACAGCGAGGTGCCAGTACTTCTGTCGGCACGTCGCAGGAAGAGCGGGATCGCAATGTGTTGCGTCTCGCTCCAGAAAAGAAGGCATGGATGCCTCCTAAATCTGTCATGGATCACTTGTCGGCGACGACGAGTGATCGTTATCGAACACGATTGTTCGATTCGTCGAGGATTCATCACCTTGACCCCAGCGCGAAAGACTATCGCGCTGAACATGAGTTCTTCATCGATGCTTTCTTCAGACATCGATGGTACAGTGGGAATCACAAACGTGATGGTCCCTCACTACTTCAGGCGTGGAACGCCTACATCCATAATCTCGAGGATGTAGGTCGTGACGCTTGGAACGACAAACTTATCAAAGCTCGTGATAAGTTTGAAAAGCGAACCCCGACAGGTGCACGCTACAAGCTGCATCGTCTGTCAAGGGAGAAGAAATTACCCTGCCTCTCTTGGGGAGACTCGTGCCCATGTTGTGTGAACAACTCTGCACGAGCACCTAAGGAGGCTTACCTCCTTACTAGCCCGTAGTGGCGCGTACGTATCTCTAGTGAGATGTACGAAGGGATTGACAACCTGAAATCCCTTTACGACCGTGCCGGGAAGACTTTCTCCGGCGGTCCTTCTGCGGCACAGGATGTGTCGCGTCTTACTGCTCAACCAGACCCAGTACGTCAGCCATCAGTTAGGAGCGGGGCTCCCAAGTATCCCAGGACGGGGGACAGCCGCGCCACCGGACGAGATAACTCGTCCGACGTCCGTTCACGTCGCGGTGGTTCAACAGCTGCTCAACTAGATAGCTCTGGCCACCGCGAGAGTCCTCTAATGGAGGTGGAGGAGGAGGAAAGACGCTCTCCACACGATCATGTGGATCGGTGTGTTCCCGAGAGCTTCTTTGATCGCGTAACGCAAGGGTTACGCGACGATCTCGAGCATGAGCGGAATAGGCGTCTCCAGATGGTGGACACTGCCTCGAAGCATCGAGCTGAGTTTGCCTTTGCTCAGCTTGAGAACGAGAGATCTCTGACATCTCTTCGTGACGAGCTAAGGGTAGCTCGTGGGATTGTTGATCGGTCTCGGGCTGAGATAACTGCTCTTCAGACCCTTGTTGATGCCCACCATCGGGAGCACAAGGCTCTTTGCGAGATGCTTGAGCGCAAGGGCGTTCTTCATCGGAAGAAGCAGCGTACTGATGGTACGGCTTAAGCCGACCAACGTAAAACGTGGGATGCGTTCGCATCTTACGTGGTAACTCGATCGTGTATGCATTGCCTAGGCGATGCAATACACGAAATGGGCCGATGTACTTGGGTAGTAGTTTACTACTACCCAAGTTAGTCACTACATGCTTTGGTAGATTAACCGTAGACAGTAGGACTAAGTCACCTTTATTAAATAAAAGAGTGTTTGCCCTTCCATTCTTGTCAGCGTTTTGCTTTTGCTTATCCACCGCTTCGGCGATGGAGTCTTGCACAAAACGGACTACCGTTTCACGAGCCAGTATGAACTCATCTGATGACTCGTTAGCTTCAGTGTGCTGTGAGCGCACTGCAGCAACATCAACCTTTTCTTCAGTGAGGGCTTCCGCACTCTCACTGGGATCATCTTCTTCAGTGAGGGCTTCCGCACTCTCACTGGCATCATCTTCTTCGATATCGATGTTATCGATATCGGCATCAAACGCAATGACTTCTTCGTCAGAGCGTGATGAGCGTGAATCAAATCTTTTTTTGCTCGCGCGAGTCCCTCCACCCCTTAAACCAGAGTTACACTCTAGTAAGGTGGGTACACGCGGATGGCGTAAGCCATTCACGTAAAACGGTGTATGTGTCGTGGACGCATGCACCGAGTTGTTGATGGCAAACTCTACCATTGGCAAAAACTCACTCCAACTCTTAAAGGAGTGTACGTATCCTCGAAGTATCTCTTCAAGGACACGATTGGCACGTTCCGTCTGACCATCTGACTCTGGATGATCAGATGTTGACATCTTCAAGCGCGTTCCGAGTGATTTGAACACGGAACGGAAGAAATCAGCAGTGAATCGTGGATCTCTGTCTGATACGAGTTCACGGGGCAACCCATGAAGTCGGAAGATGGTGTCAATAAAGACACAAGCACAGCCACTTGCCGTGATTGTCTCTGGTACAGCCACAAGGTGTACCATTTTGCTGAATCTGTCAACAAATACGAGAATACCCGTATTCCCGCGTGCGTCTTTGGGTAACCCGAAGACGAAATCCATTGAGATGGATTCCCAGCACTCAGCCGGAACCGGTAGAGGCTGTAAAGGTGCACGCAGTGAAGGACTTGACTTCACTCGTTGGCAGACTTCGCATGCGCGAACATACTGTCGCACAAACTGATACTGGCGGGGCCAGTAAAAGTCTCGACTTACCGTGAGATATGTTTTCTCTCGGCCACGATGTCCTCCTATAGGAGCATCGTGATACTCGAACATGATCCGCAAACGCAGATCAGTATCATCTGGAATGACAACACGTGGTGTGTCACCAGAAACGGCTGTATAATACAGTAAACCGTTACGAGTAGTGTATCGATCTGATGCAGATCGATACGCAGGCGACAATCGTTTCAACGATTCTCGGGATGGTTGGGAGAGATGTGACAACAACTTCACTATCTCACCATCTTGGGCGTATGCCCGCCTCACATCATCATACAACGTTGTAGATGGAACTGAGGACGTCATAACCGCAACAGTGACTGTCTCACTGTTGGGTTTCGCGACTGTTTCAAAGTCGGGACGACGTGAGAGTGCATCAGCGACGACATTAAGTCGTCCTGGTTTGTACTCGACCGTAAAGTTGTATTCTGCAAAGAATGACAACCACCGCGCCATTCATTGTGAAAGGTGCGGGCTGTTCACTGCCGTGCGTAATGACGCATGGTCAGTGTAAACAACGAAGGGTCTATCTCCTAATAGATAGACTCTGAACTTCGCGAGTGCATACTTCATGGCAAGGAGTTCCTTGTCATGCACTGGATAGTTCCGCTCAGCTGGTTGCAGCTGACGCGACTGATAGCAGACGACGCGTTCAACGCCTTCAAGGTCGTACTGCATTAATGCACAGCCGATTGCGAAATAGCTGGCATCACAGACCACATGAAATGGCCTGTCCTGATCGGCTATTGCTAGGACTGGGGATTGTATCAAGCTCTGCTTGATACCCTCAAAGGAGCGTTGACATTCAGCGTTCCATAACCACCTCTCGTTCTTTTTCAACAAACGAGAGAGGTGTACAGTCATCTCGGCGTAATTGCGTGAATACTTATGCAAATACGCCGCTAGCCCACAAGGAATTTTCGAAGACCTTTGACATCGACCGGCACGGGCCAGTCGGTGATCGCCTTGATCTTTTCGGGATCAGGACGCACACCGTTCTTACCAACGATGCACCCAAGAAGTGGTATTTCGCTTGCTGCAAATATACACTTCTTGAGGTTTGCATACAATTGATGCTTTCGCATGATTGTAAGAACTTGTCGGACGTGGTACTTGTGAACCTCAACGTCCGACTTTCCATCCATAGCTCGACTATGGATGAATACGTCATCGAAATAACTCGGCGCGAATTCTTGTACTGGCCTCAACAGATGTGATACACACCTGTTGAACGTGTCAGGGGCATTACTGAGCCCTTGTGGCATTACTAGCCATTCCCAGAGCATGCCGCTAGGCGTGCTAACTGCGGTATAGGGTATATCCCGTTCCCGCATTAGGATTTGATAGAAGCCATCCATCAAATCCATGGACGAAAAGATGGTACTCTTTGACATACCATCAATGATTACGTCCTTCCTCGGTATCGGCGTCTGAGCCGGTACCGTTGCAGCGTTCAATTTGTTAAACGCGTGCACTATCCGCCACCCTCCTGTTGCTTTTCGCACACAGAAGGTCGGAGAGCTATGTGGGGAAGTTGGTTCCCTCACATGGCCCGCTGCTAAACGATCGGCAAAGAACTTGTCGATCGCAAGTACTTGTTCACGAGGCAGTGGCCACTGCTTCATGACACAGTACTTCGAGCCTGGTTTAAGCTCGACTTCGTGTCGAATACCTTTATCCTTCGGTAATTCGCACGGAACAGTTTCAGGGAATACATCCTTGAATTCAACCAAATCTTCATAGAGAGGATTTTCCTTGAGCGATTCCCATGATTGGGACTCATATCGCTCAATTCGTGTCTTTTCATCTAGGGCACTCTCGTCCATAGATGAACTACTGAGAACTCTCTCGTTCTCAGTAAACACTGTTGCTGACCTTATGTCGGTTACATACTCGTCGTCAGCGACGAGTATGCAGATCTGCTTGACTTTGCCACTACGCAGATCACGCAAGAATCTTTTATGTTCGAGCGTTGGCAACTGAGTGATCTCCGAAGTTAACTTCGGAGGCGCAATCAGATCAAGTGTATAAGCGCCTACACATGATCCGTTATTGACTATGACATTCAATGTCTCTGTCATTTCCTGGGGACTTATTCCCTCAGGCCTCGAAGGACTTATTCCTTCGTCTTCCCGGGGACTTATTCCCGCGGGTTTCGGGGAACTTATTTCCGCCGTATTTGTAATCTTGGGACTTATTCCCTTTACTTCCTCTAGCTGGGGTTGCGCAACCACAGCGAGATCCTCTACGAAAGACTCTCCAGTCGATCTAGGATTATCGTTTCGCTTAACCTGAGCGATCGATTGTTTCTCTTCTAGATGTTCCCCTCTAGGGATACATCTTTGTCCCAGTCCACCCGACTTATTCGAGTGGTGGACCTTCGGCGCAGCCTGTGTTTCCTCACAGCCGCCGGAACTTTGCTCCGAAGTGTAACCGTTTGGTACACTAAGGTTTTGTGCAGTCGTACTAACGACCGTACCACAAGTGAGGCCATCGCACTCACTCGTAGTACATCCACACGCTTGTGGACGCTCCAAAACGTTCATCAGATGGCCATCTGATGAACAAGCGGCAGGCATCGTTACTGTCCGATGTTGCCAGTTTACCCGTGGTTCGTACCTTCTGAGCCACGGTATTCCAAGGATGACATCAAATTTGTCATCCAAATCCAATACGATAAAGTCATCGTCGTATTGGGTATCTTCTAGCGTATAGTGAATCTTCACTATACGCTTCATGACGGTTACGGATGCGCCTGTCGCAAGACGTACCGTCATCCTCGTAGGAGGTGTGTCACATTCACTGAATTTAAAGTGACCATCTTCTAGCGATTGGCGTCGCACAAAATTGTTGGACGCCCCACAATCGACTAGAGCTCGAAGGGACAACTTATTCGTCACTTCGAGTTTCAAGGTAATGAGTGAGATCTCATTACCTAGAGCAGCAACGCACAATGTCTGTGTGTTGGGAGCAACCTTCATCAAGAGGCCTACAAATTCTCTTGACGTTGCTGGATCAGTAGGGTGCTCCGCACCTACTGATCCTGTCCGTTTTTTGACGGTCCATCCCGTTGTTGCGTCTTTGCACCAACTGCGGACCCTCGTCCCTGCCCCTTTCTCATGGGTGGACGGTCACTACGCCCAGTGTCGCGAGACACTGGACGAGGGGCACTACACTCGTAAGCGTAGTGTCCTGTCTTTTGACATCTGTTGCATCTCTGCAACTTCTTGTAGCCTGTAGAGCGAGCCTTCTCGCTCTCTACATAACAGAGTTCCATCGGCTCTGGACCTCCGTTGTCATATCGTCTCGGTTGACGATATGATGTCGAGCTGGCGCGAGCCTGTCTCAGACTGAAGTCTTCCTGTTCCGCAATTGAAATGGCTTGTTCTAGTGAATCTAGGTCAAGCCGGAACAGGTGAGTCTTGACGGGACCATCCGCAAGACCCTGCATGAACACCGAAACCAACGTGTGTTCATCCACCGGATTGGAACTTATACAACTCGTGAGATGTCGTATATGTTGAGCGTAAGCGTGCACATCACGCTTACCCTGCTTGAGCTTCAAGAGTTCGGTTCGAGCTCTGAACTCAGCTCTAGGCGGTTCAAACGTTTGTCTGAGCCGCGACTTGAAGACTTCCAACGACCCAAACGCATATGGGTCGTGCAGCTTGAGCCCCAGTGCCCAAGTCTTGGCACGTCCTGCCAGATTTGACTGGGCAAATGCAACTTGCATATCCCCGTCGTCGATGCGACGCGCCCTTATGGCGTCATCCAATTCGACGAACCATCTCAAGAGGGAGTCTTCTTCGACCCCCTATACTTTGAGATGTCAATCTTCAAAGTCTCGGGCCGACGCGAGTGCATCGACCCGCCAGCAGCAGCCTGCTGCTGTCTCAACAGTTCAAACTGTTGAGCACCTTGTTCTCTCAACAACTCTGCTTGTTGAGAACCTTGTTGGTGAAGCAAGGCTACTTTCTCGCGTTCTGCGTCAAGTTCATTTTGAATGAACTTGGCGATAGTAGCATGTTGGGCATCTCTATTGAGAGCCTCTAGCATGACGCTAACAGCATGGATGCCCATGGTCGAACCCATTCGTTCAACCGCATCCCATTCGACATCGCTCAAATGGGAGTAGCCGTCACGCGTAGCGTGAAAGCTTTGGTCATCTTCATCATCCAACATATTCATGTTGGATGTGAACGCGGTCCTTGGACGGACTACAAAGTGCTACCAGGTGTAACGGGGCACCCTGAAGCTTGTACTGGTGACAGTACAAGCTACTTATTCTGATAACAGAATAAGGCGGTGCCTCGTAACTTCACGTACACTCGTACGTGCAGAGGAAGACGGTAAGAAGAAGCGAGTACTTGGTTAGAGTAAAAAGTAGAACTGTATTTATAATAGTTAATGTCTGCAATAAATCACTATTTATCTTCATCTAACTATGTCTAAATACAAATGTGTAAATCAGTTATCTGCTCACCACTCATTGCGTGCGTCTGTCGTGGCGCGTCTTCGTTGTTTGATATAATGGCCTATATCAATCATTTAGGAACTACTCGTAAGTGCTACAGAATATTGTCCTTATGACAATATTCTGAGAATATAACTCTTATAGTTATATTCTATTAACAATTTCTTATAAATTGTTATGTAACGATTCACCCCGTTACACATAAACAGTCGGGGCGCTTGTGGTACTTGACGTTTCACGACATGCTAGTGTCGATGGGTTTCTGTCAGGGCAACACGGAAGTTGCCTATAAATCAAGTTTGATAGCGACGTGAAAACGCTTGCTGGCATCTACGTGAATAAAGTACTGGCGACACAGACCAGTCTACGGAAGGTTAAAGAGTTCGGACATGACATGCAAGCGCTTGAGCTTAAGAACTTTGGTGCGGCGTCCAAGTTTACTTGTACATTGTTTAATTACGATGACGATAAATGGATAGAGACTTAGTCAAGATATTGTTATTAAAAAGATGGTCGAGAGGTTTGGATTAGCCAAGTAACACCGACCAGGGTGCCAATCGGCGAAGAAGACAAAGATGGTGCGCTTCTACCTCATAATGGAAAGACGGAAAATATCAATTGTGCAGACTTTCCAGTCTTTAGTCGGCAATATGCTATGGATAGCTCGATGCACACGACCCGGCATAGCATTTGCGGTGCACCGAGTGACTCGTCATTTGTACGCGCCGAGTGAAGGCAATTGGCGTCTAGCAAAGAGGATTTCGATATATCTAAAGAGCACCAATACTATGAAACTATAACAAAGGGAGAATAGTACTCAATGAAACATGACGGCAGGCAAGTCGAGGCATACAGCGACGCCGACTACGCCGCAGACAAGACTGACCTAAATTCGGTCAGCGGTGGCGTGTTCATGGTGGGTGGCATGGTTGTAGGCCTGATGTGCAAGAAACGTAAATTTGTTGCTTTGTCAACGATGTAATCTGAGTAGTGTGTGGCGGCTTCGCAAAGAGCGGCTGAGATGATAGGCATCGTGGAACTGCTATAAAAAATCGGCGTGCTGCTACAGTTAGGTACAATTTACACTTGGATAAACAATCAGACACCGCTTAAATAATGGGCAAAGACACATCTAGGCAAAAAAAGTATATCGAAGAGCGTTACAATTTGTCAAAGATCTGGAGAAAAAGAAGATGTTAAAAGTGCAGTACTGCAACTCCAAGAAAATGCGTGTATACGTTCAGACCAAGACCTTCCCAGCGCCCCTACTCTGCGAGCTATGTGGACTGACGATGCTCAGTGGTTTAGCTCGTCCACACGGAAAGGAGTGTTGGAACGATGCGATTACTGATGTGACAGGACGCGACTGTTGATGGGACAGTGAAACGGGGACCGGAGCAACACACTGGACAACCAGTGTGAAGCTGCTATTACCGACAGCAGCGTGAGCGGTGTCTCTCCACCTTTGTAATTCTGCAGAGAAAGAAAAAGCAACTAGTAACTGACTAGTTGCTGGTAAAAGCATAATTACATTAAATGTAATTAGGTCTTGACATTAACCTATGATTTTGGTTCTTACTTGGTTATAGATATCTACAAAAATGTATGTTCAAGTCATGATCACCACTCATTGTGCGCGTCCATCGTTGATTGGACCGCTAGAGGTGGCTGATATGATGACCCATATCATCCAATCGGTGGGTGTTTCTGAATAGTACTTTTTGTGGTAATATCCACGAACATTTCAACCTTTAAGATGATATTTCATTTAACGAGTATCAAGAGTTTATGACATGTAACAGGCTTATCCTGCTGCAGACGGGACATTATTGACGATGAAGCAAAGTGACCATTTAAGGGGGAAGGAGTTTTGACGAAATCTACGCAGGAGAGATTGCAGGTAACGGACAACGAAGGTTACAGGCAGCGGAGGTAACTGGAGAAATAAGCTTGAATACATTAAGTTTTCAATCAACTTCCCATTTATAAGTCCGTGTCAAACATTTTTAGTGTCTCCTTTTTCTTTAAAAGTTGACTTTTCCATTGTAGCATCGACCATCTTTCCCCCTCACCAGTAGCTATCTGCATTAGAAGGGAACGATCGGTATTTTTACCTGTGTAATTGAACGAGTGCGCATGCCATGTAATCAACGACAAGATTCTCGCTTGATCCGCAAGCATTATCAAGTAAAAAATGTTTTTGGGTAAAAGGACGTGCATTTAGCAGCAAATATTAGTTGTATAAAAGGTTTCGTTCAGTAATGTTGTAGGCGTGCATATGACAATTCCCGAATGTTATTCAAACTGCTGTAAGGTTTCCAATGTAAAAGTTGAGTAAAAAGTCATACAAACTTCTCACAGGTTTACAAAAAGTTAAGTTAATTTCACGGCAGTAGGCGCTCTTTGTGTTTACTCAATTGTCCGCATAAGATTTTTTAATTATTGCAAGCCTAAAAATAGCTTTCTCCTTTTCTCGACCGCGCGTTTTCTTAATGTAGATCAAGCCAATTAGCACGGAAGGAGGTATTGTGTAGCACAACAACTGAGCAAACTTCAAAGCAGGGCACTCTATTCCATGGTACATACAAAATAGCACGAGATTCGCCCAGCTCAACAATCAAGTTTCAAAATTTTTAACCACCTTTCTCCCAACCACTCAGTGCGCGACGAATGTCGATTGGCGGCATGTTAGTCGATAGCATGGCATACGAATCGAAAAAAATAAAACGTGGCAGAGCCCATGCATGTCGCCGACAACGTGCATGTCGCCATCAACGGGTTCTACACCGACCCCTGATACGCGGTCATATGATGTGACTAGCTCATTTCGCTTCACAGTGGCGTACGATGATTGCAGAGAATGCCAAAAACATCTCCTGTAGCAGTCAAGATGCGTCTATGCAGACGTGCCTTCTTTAGAACGGACAAACGGCACGTGTCGAGGTGCAGGGAAATCTGTAAACGGCTGGACTGCTCCAGTAGACCAGACTCCGGACACTGCCGTCCCATGTTCAACTCTGGTTGACTTCTTTTGGTCTGTCTTTTGCAAACGCTGCATAAACATGCACAATCCATCCAGATTTCACTGGTACAGCATCCACCGCCAACCATGACACTGCGACTACCACTAGCATTGCGCAACTGCAGCTGAAGTCCCAAGGATTGTATGGAACTGGACAAGTTCTGGTCTGAAGCTTTGTGCGCAGCAGTAGCTAGTGATAGATGACGATTCTGCCTCTAAAGAGCTTCAGCGTCTTTCACGGAAGGTCCACTGTTGCCCCAGTTTTTTGAACAAGTCTGACATATCCGCTGCTGGTTTGCGCAGGCGACAGGACACCATTCCGCTGGCAAAATGCTGCAAAGACCTTGTCTGACACCTGTGCAATTGTCATGGTAAGTGAACATCGTCAGTAGGTGCATATGCCATCGCTGCCCACTCGCTGTAGCAAACTAATGCCTCAACTTAGACATCCTCAAACGCATCAGAAGTTGGATGTGTATTTTGCTGTACTGGTTTAAGTATTCGGGTGTGATCGTGTGTGTGTCAGTGTGAGACGTAAGTATGTACACAAGCAGCAGATCAAACCGATGCAAGCGTCATGTCCAGGCAACCGAAGCTGAACCTAATGGACGACAAGTCCAAAGGCCACTAACGCTAAAACTGCTCGCTCATTCACATAGTACTGGAAGTGTGCTAAGGAAACAACAATCTACTGAACCTTCCTGACTTTAACCTCACGCGTGCTCCGCTGCTCAGCGCGGTCGCGTTGTTGATATGATCGCGAAAACAGCCACTGACGATGGACGATGCATCTCCTTGCATGCTCTTTCTGAACAGCTGCAGTCTGAAAATACGTGGGTGTTATGGCTGCAAAAATTCAAACTCAGCGTGCAGTTGTCTCTCGAATATGTAAGCAAGTTGTAGGACTCATTCGAACACAAGTCGAATGAACTTTTGATGTCTTACAACGCCGAGCTGTTCTCCTTTGTTGTCGTTCGTTTCCACCGGGGGGGGGGCTTGCAGTACTAAACTGCAGCATCCAAACTACAGACGGCGACCACGATCGGCTACCCAATTCCTACGAGTGCGAAGCACAAACCATCTGTTGCTGGAAGTAATACTGGATGCGACAGATACGACGGTGCTGGCAAACCCGATGGTAGTGGCGCAGCGAACACCTGGTCACAGACAAGTGGGTGTGTATTCTGAGAACTTGATACACACAACTACGCAGAGTCGCGTGCTGGTCGGTACGTGCAGCCTCTATCGTACTTCGACCTCTTTTTCTCAATACTTTGAGCTCCTGTCGATTCATTACGTGTCACGTGTTGCATATTCGGCTGGGCATGGATGGATCCAGTCCGCGAGTCTGGGCTACAAATCGTAGGCAAGTGCAAGTCGAAGCAACTGATCTGCAGAAGAGCTGAGCGCAGAATCCAGACCAGACGGACTTATCAGGTCACACGACTGTCGCTCTCATTATCCAATTTTTTGCTGCTACGTAAGACTGTGTTTCCAGTCTTGTCGCCCCGTACGCACTTCTACTATTCTCCAAGTATGACTATTGCCTCAGCACTTCGCCAGCTTCTCTCGTTCGATGATGAAACAGCGCGGTGCACTCCCGTAACTGTCAAAGGTGGTCCCTCCTTTTGCATTCAAGGTCCTGTATGCGGCAGTGAATTGGCGAAGGGACAGGCAAAGGGTTCCGGCATGTGTCCCCGTCGGAACGACAAGGCGGATAGTAATTGCGATTCGAAGGCCCAGCACCTTTCGAGTAGCTGCACCGCCCTTGTTGATGCCAAGTGTATGGATCTAGGCGGTGACAAGTGGGAGTGCGTGTTCCCGATTGACGGACCTGGATACCAAACCGTGGAGCAAATCGCTCCGTATACGCAAGACCAGATCCCGTCGTCCCCGATGAGTGATCAGGCAGTGAAGCTGTCGGCTCCAGCCCTGGAATCCCACACTGCGTCTAACACCCTGGGGGCGTCAAACGCCTCGATCAATATTGCGGTCGGCGTCGCTTGCTGCGTGCTTGCTTTCGTCGGCCTCGTATTTGTCAAGAAGCGCCGCAACCGCGAGCGATCAAGCAGCTACACGCTCTCGGAGAAGGACATATCAATTGTGACGCTTTAATGTTGTCGCTTGAACGTTGAAACACTGCTAGGGAGCTAGCCAGGTAGCCAAATAACCCCGTGATTTATAAGTTTACGTTGACGCGCAACACCTTCACAATACATGTCACTTCTTCTTCTTCTCCATCTCTCTTTCGATGATGCCACACAGTAGCAGTAAGCGTATGAAAGGCTTCAGTCCAAGCCTTGTCCGTCATGAGTAGCTGCAATCATCTTCGGCCGTGATGTTAACGAAGGTGCGTGCACCACGTTCGACACTGTCAGTCGTTCAGGTACATTCATTACAACTTTCGTTGAATTCGAACACTACGACTCACTTACTTCTTGCCTGATACATGTGTCACACTTCCCCACGCTGTGAGTTCATTCTTGACAGCCAGTCTCTTCACTTTTCTGAAACGATACACACGTAGCAAACGTGCGCTCGCCTGACGCATGCTATCACGATCAGATGTAAGAAAAGTAGAGGACCTTACGTGGCAAAATGATCTAGCCATTAAACCACATCGATCAGGTCAAAGGCTTCATTAGGTATCTACTGCGTGCCACGCCTCGGGGCTTCTTCGGTGCTGATGAGTGTCAAAGAGCTGCTAGAGGAAACGTAGAGGATTGACCTCCATGGTGCTCAAAACGATAAATTCGACGATGTAGTGGGCGATACTCACGCCACTACAATAAAAACGGTGGGATAGAAGTGCTACACAGCAGGCTGACTCACAGGACACTGACCTTGCTAGCTATTTGCCCTGACCTCCACTTCTCGACAGTCTTGCGGACACACCTTTGGCACGTGCTAATGTGCAGGTTTCTTACAGAAGTGATGGATGTGCATGTCATGTGCTAGTTAGAGCCTGCAGAAAGTGTATGACAACGTTGTGCATCGCGAGCCACGGGTAGTGTGCCCTGTGGCTACTCTGAGTATAACAAAGGCGTCTGACGAGCTCGTGGTGTCCATGTGTCAGCAGCTTGCATGTTGCAATACCACCAGGCAGTCTTTTAGCTGAAAGCGCGATAAGCTCTTGCATCACAAGCGCCACGTAAGTCATCCTTATATCTGCAGCTGATGAGACCAAGACAAAGGTAGCGACTTTGTTGTTGTCATTGGGACCCTGACCGGTCATGAGCACAGTGTGCCGAATCGGCCCGACGCAAATGCAGTGTAGACTTCTTCCGAGCCCGGAGGAAAGTCGTCTGTCAGTGGCACGCAATATCTCAAGATCGGTAGCTGAGACCTGACGAGCATTCCACAGGACCTGGCGCAGCATTGGTTTTCACCAGCTTCGGAGCAAAGACGTCCGAGTCCGTCTGAGCGGCTCTGATGAAAGGTGAGAGGTGCGACGTTTATTCTCCGACTCAAGGTCTGACATGGCAGGAACACGTGGGTCTTTAATAAGTCTTGAGGTGCGTTCTTGGAGTCGATGCAACAGCGCGCTGAGAAAAGAGCCAATGTTCAGGCAATCGACATCATCGCGAGGCTGTCGAGGAGGCAGAAGGCTTGCAGCAGCTATGACAATTCCTGCTCGGGTCCAGAAGTGACGTGAACTCTACCTACGATCAACTGGTACGTCACACTTCCTCGGTTGGCAGTAGCTACTTGCTTCAGCCAAAAAGTTAATGGTATGGTCGATGAATGTAAATGTGGTCTTCGCGGACTTGACAACTTGGTTCCGAGCATTCGTGGGAGGTCTAAAGCCAGCAAATGTCCTCATCTGTACAGCGCGGTACAACGTCGAGGTGTCAGAGACAAAAAGACTGCCAGGTTCATGCGTTTTCGTGACAGAAAGCTCACTGATGGATTTAGCTGTCGTTAGTAACAAGTGAAGAAGAACTGGATGCTTGTGCCTCGGTATTAGCTCAATGACAGAAGCACAAGGCATGTCAATTTTGGTGCGTATGAGCATGTTCACCAACTACATAGCCATCAGACAAGCGAATATAGCAATTTGCGGCATGACGTACCGCCCAAATAATTGTTGCTACTTCCTGACACTTGTCTGCATCACGAAAGCCACGAACCAGCCGTCCATAGTCATCTGCGGAGAACTCGTGGACGTAGAGCAACAAGGAAGTAAAGAGCACACAAGCACAACTATTACGAGGTCAATCGAAAAGAAAACGCGCGCACAAGTCCGGCCTTCAGCGCTTTCATATTCATGGCTTCGAAAAACGTGCACGTCCTTCGTGACCAAAAAAATGCGAGCACAGCAGCCACTTGCCCACAGTCCGAGCGGTACCTCGTCAACCAGACACATACTTATCGGACCATCACAATGTCGTCAATCTTGAGGATCATGCGGACGCACTCCGTGGCCAGCGAGATCGCACTCGTGCTGACCAGAAGAGGCTGTAGCACGTTGAGCTCGTACATATAACTAATGGCGCCCTTGCGCACGTTAATGCCCATGCTCGTGTGCCCCTGGGCATGCTTCGCCCGCAGTTCCGTGACGATACCGATCGGGTGGAGACCAGCGTTCTCTGCCAGTGTGTACGGAATGACCTCCATCGCATCAGCAAAGGACTGCAAGCAGTAACTGGCCGTACCTTCGAGTGTGCGGCCGTAAGCTGCCAGCTTCTGAGCCACCTGAATTTCAGGTGCACCACCGCCACAAATCAAAAAGCGTTTCTTGACCAGTGAGCGTACGACACACAGAGCATCGTGCAGTGATCGACCGGCTTCTTCAAGAACCAGTTTGTTCGAACCACGCACAAGGATAGACACAGTCTTGCCTGGTTTTACAATTTCCGTGACTTTGACGACCTTGTGGCCGCCCACTGTTTCTTCCTGCACCAAACCCGCCGTGCCAAGCTTCTCGGGGGTCAAATACTCAATGTTTGCCACAGGCAGACATCCCAGCGTCGTGGCGATGTGCTCAATGTCGTTGCGTTCAATGTCCGTGATAACACGAATGCCCATCTTGGCCAAAAAGTGAAGCGACAAGTCGTTCGTGGCATCCCGCAAGATGCTCTTTTGGATCAGCAAGACATTCGCGCCCGACTTTTTCACCTTCTTGCAAAGGTTCAAAATGTACTTGCGTTCCTCACGCAAAATGCGGTCCATCGCAGCGTAGTCATTAATGACCACATTGCTCTCCATGTCTGCTTTCGGTGCAGACAGACAGAACTGAATGAGCGCAATCTTGGCATTCTCAATGGTAGTAGGGCCCGTACTGCTCGCCGTCTTGTCAAAGCCCTTGCTGAACACAAGTCCGTCCACGAGCTCCGAGTCGTCAATTGTGCCTCCAAGCTGCTGCGCAACGCGCACTGCGTTCAAATCCACGTTTGTGGCCGTAGCAATGTCAATCACTTGCAGCACGGCGTCCACGGCAATCGGAGACAATTGGTCTGCGTACTCGGAAATGACCTTGGACGACAGCGACGTATTGACACAATTAATGAGTTCCTCGCGGTTCGCAAGTTCCACCGGTTTCGAAATGTCCGTCAAAATCTCCTCGGCCTTAACGGCAGCAAGGCCAAAAGCTTCCGAGATGTTGGTAGGGTGGATGCCCTTAAGCAGAAGGTCTTCACAGGCACCAAGGAGAGCGCCAGCAAGCACACAAACACTGGTGGTACCGTCTCCAGCTTCAATGTCCTGCGACTTGGACAGATCCACGAGCATCTTGGCCGTCGGGTGGTACACTTGCATTTGGCTCAAGATAGTTGCGCCATCGTTAGATATGATCACTTCTCCATTGCTCTGCTGGATCATCTTGTCCATCCCGCGTGGTCCTAGACTCGTGCGAATAGCGTTCGCAATTGCTGAAAAAGATAGAAATAGAGTTAGAAATAAAGTACGTTTCTATCGTGGACAACGACAGAGGACAACAGCTTGGCATTCTTTGTGGCTGAGCAATATAGGAGAGACGGACCTTTTGCAGCGATGATGTTGGACATTCGCACATCCTTCTCTTTTTGCTTGCCACGCAGAGTCTCGCCGGTTGGACGGGCAATCGTCGCGGGTGCGGGTACGGCCATAGCTTTGGAGATGGACACACTTTTGGTGGATTATAATATGTGGCGACGGGGGTCTTTCTAACTGTGACCATTATGGTCCCTATTTAGTCTTACGGTCGGTCCTCCGTTTCTAAGTCCTTGATTTTTAAGCTCGACTCATTTAACCTAAAAAGGAATGCGCTGGATGGTATTTCCAAAAATATAGACCAACACCGATTGGAATAAAAGGTGTAAATCTAACGATCGAACAATTATAACTAAAGCGAAATTTGTTGCATGTACCACCCTAGTTAGTTAGATTCACTCCTTTTTTTCAATCTGAAAAAGCTCGGTAGAAGTGATTTCTGAAAGTCAGATATTTAAGAAAAACGTCTACCTGTTTCACCTTCGATGACCCTCGCAGGCGCAATCAGTACACGACTGTATTGGCCGCAGCCTAGCGGTGAATATAATTGAGCCTCGGTCCAGGGTGATATTAACAAGGTTCTGTCGACACGAACGCAGTGGGGCTCGCACAAACTTTCAGCTAAATATTGCGAGTCAATAATAACGAGCACTGGGGTAATTTTCAATTTAAATTGGTTTATTAATTCTATCGTGATAAATTCGACTTACAGACTGAGACTATTCATTGAAAAGACCAGAGACGGTTGCGAAATTAAACGAAAGGCCAAGCAGGTTGAATGCAGCTTCGACCGGCATAAATGAACAAAAATTGAAGTAAATACAGCCAAAAGAAGATAGATAAAAAAGAGACAAAAGGCAAAGTAAGTGGTAAGGACAATGAAGGCGTATAAGGTAGTTGTTATGCAACTTTAGAGCAGCAGGTGGAGCTAAAAAAGAAAACAAAAAGAAGGGTAGATCGAAAAGGATCCCGTTATCACCACGCGATACTGAAATTGACATTTTCCTCTTAAACCCTTACTAGTTGCTAGTGACTGAACCAAGATATTTTTGATAACTGATGGTACACGTACTGAGACAATACTGCCTCACGTAGGGCTTTTTAAAAATCGATGTTACAACTCCGACTCTGTGCATGTTACAAGGTGAGCACATTACATGTCATGAACCCTTGACACTTCTTAATTATGACATTATCAAAAAATTGCTAATGTTCGTGGATATTACCTAAGAGGTATATTTAGAAACACTCGCCGATTGGCTGATACAGGTAATCATAACAGCCAGCTCTAGCGGTCCAATCAACGATGGACGCGCACAACGAGTGGTGAGCAAGAATTAACATGCATTTTGTAAGAAAGTAAAATTAAGCTAAGACAAAAACACAGGTGAATGATTAGGATTTTTTTGTGCAATGCAGTTTTAATTTTACCAGCAAATAGTCAGTTCCTAGTTGCTTTTCCTTCCTCTGCCAAGTTACAGAGAGAGAGAGGCACTACACACGCTGCTGTCGGTGATAGTAGCTCCAGACTGGTTGTTTAGTGTGTTGCGCTGGTGCCCCGTTCGAGGCAGAATCCGAGAGCAACCGTAGCATCTGCTCGAAAAAGTTTAGGCCAAAACGTTTCAAAGATCTAATTTAGTTACGTTACACATGCGCCGCAATACTCTAGGTTTTTTAGGCTTAAGTTTTTTTACTAGAAGTTGGACTTTGAAGACGTGGAAGTATAATTTACTGAGCACGTTCTCGAAAGCTATGAAACTACAGTGACTTCTCGCTACAGCGAGACAGCACCGTTTTGTATTGTTGTTTATCCTGAAATCTGTAAATGCACCTATATTATGAATTAAAAATTGATAAATAAGGTGAGCATGGTAATATTTTTTTCGAGTAGAAGATCAAGTTGGATTATTGCAATATTTAGAACAAACTGAGAGAGTAATCGGATACTCTCAGATTTAACACCCCGACAAATCGGGTTGAACGGAGCAAGCGCTGTTGATATTGCCACTCTACAAACATCTAATTACTCGCAGCTCCAACACATTAGACGAAATTGGAGGCTGGCCAATTTCGCAGGTGATAAAACGAAACGAGCTCGTAAGGACATAGCGCACTTTTTAGTTTTTCTACGAGAAAGATGAAGATATTTGGACAACCTGCAACCGTGAATTATAGCGCAATGCACACCTCTCGCCTTAGAAGCTGTACTGAGCAATTTTGGCATGTATCTCGCGCTTAAGAAGGGCCGAAAGGTTCAGCTCTGAGACCGGTGCTCGGTCATGCAGTACTTTTGGCAGATTAAGAACTGGTTGCTGTAAATGTTTTCACTGCAGAGGGCGGCGGCCGATAAGTAACATTTTAAAGAACAGGAAGCGCTTTGGAAAGACATTACATGATGTGTACGTCGGAACCATTTGTGAGCAAAGACCCAGTCTGGACAAAGACACTTCTGATGAAAAATAATGGAGTTATTGTCTTGCTCGGCAGTTACTAACTGATAACAATATCGCGGTTCTGTCATCTTTGGTTCCTCTTCGTGTTTTCATGAGCTTCACATGCTGCGCAATACTAGCCTACGACTGCACCCTACTAACACGTCTTACTAGCTCATGACTGCACAGTACCACGTGAACAAAAGGTTCTATCTTTCGTCGCTTATCCAATACGCCATCATCAATCGTTAGAGCGTCTCATTGAAGACAGGCTTTTAATCACACTTGCAGGAAGCATACGCCATCCTGCAAGGTCACTACTTCAAAAAGATTTTAGCTTAATCATCGCGTCAAGCCTGTAACTGTTGAGTCAGATGCAAATACAAAGGTGATACATGAATCGACGTCCTTCGATTTCATAAGAATTTTGTTACATCATAGCCTGGTATTTATGTCATTTTTCCATCAAATAAGAAACAGTGTCGTAGCCACGTTTTCATCACGATCTGGAATCTTGATGGTATCAGTATACCAACTGAAAACTGCACCGCATACATGCTTACGTCATGTATACAGCAAAGTAGGTCAAACCCGATAACCAATATCCGATATGAATATATCCAATTCGACAAACATATGGTGTACCTTGACAACAGTTGCACAAACAGGTCTGCAACCAAGTGCCATGTATGCTCATCCGAGCACGGGCAATGTCACACTGACACGATTTTTCTCTTCATCAAGACGCCTCGTTTATAAATTATTTTGGCTCAAACATATGCTCAGTTCTCGCGAATTGAATATGACGGCTAAGGCTTAATTTAAGCACAGCCAAAGCACCACATTCGTAAGTGAGAACGTAAGAAATGGACCGCCTGACAAACGATGCCGAGTGAGTTCAGCAATGCAGAAGAAGGTGTGGATCTACTGGTATACCCAGTAGTACTGCCTCTGTAATTTGTCCGATAGCTCTAGCAGGTACGCGAGAACCACCGGCAAAGAGATAGTTGTGTTTAAAAAGGTGTATCTCTCTAATGGCTCCATGATTGATAAAAATTTCTTTGGTATCGTGACGATGTATTGGAGATTGTGGATGTCACCGAGATGTGGTTACTGTCTTCATTGGCGGAGCAAAAAATGTCATAAGTCTGTGAAAAACTGCACAAAGTTTGTCATTTGATTAAACGCATTTAGCAACATAAACGACTCCATGTCGCCGTGAGCATTCGATGCTACACCTAGACATACGACGAACAACATTATACCAATGGCCACCCCGTAGTATTCACTCAGGCCAACTATATATTGGGTTATATATACAGTGAGAACTAAGCATCAAATTATTATGAAGGGCCGATTTTACAGCCGTCGTCACATTCCCCCACTTGAAATTGCATGTGAACATGTCTTCGATGCGGCTAGCGCTTTATAGTGGCGTGTTGAGATAAAAGCTGCCTTCCCAGCAGTTTGGCTATTAACGAGTACAAGAATCCCCTGCTGGATTCTTGCAATCCAGCCGTCGCACGGTCAATCACTTGAAAGCGCCCCAAACAATTACATCATTAACGTGAAATTTTGCTAAATTGTCTACTTTGTACTGGATTTATGCCGACTAAAGGTCGTGGGACTAAATTATAATTGAGATAAATAATATGATCATAACTTATACATGCCTCAGTTTACTTATTTTTAATAAATGCAGGAAGGCCAACTAGAAATTGTCATGTAATTGTAGCCAATTTCTGATCTCGATTTTGCATATTCCGCCAAATATGATGATTGAGATAGAGAAATGACAAACCTAACACCAGTTTTATATTTCGTCGCATCATATTAATAATTGATTGGCATACAAAAGCCAAGTCAGAGGTGTATAGTGCTGCAATCGTCAAGAATCCGAGAGATTCTAAACTGTTCAAAAGAAAGATTTGTAATAAATGTTTCTGAACACTTATGGAATAGCCGTTACTCTAATAAATTATATTATTCTATGTGGAGGTATGTCGGAGCAGTACGATAAAGTAAAGTCCGAGTTGCAGCATCTGGTGAATCACTCCAATTTACACTCGTACACGCCAGCAAAAGACAGCACAGAAATCATAATTGGAATTGTTGGCTCCAGCAAACACCAATTAAGCCATGCCAACTTTAGTGTCGCCTTTAAAAAGTCTAGCGTCGGTTTCTGTCACACGTGAAGGACTAAGCACATCATTTATTAGCAATACCCAGTGCAGTTCGTTGCTAATTAACAAAACGTTTACGACAGCATTATCTATCTACAATGGGGCAATGTGATATTCGTCGCCAAGAAATTTATGATTATGCATGTATCACTGACGAGTAAAGAAGTGGCTAATTGGATCCTTTGCTTCGCAAAGAAAGATCGTAAAAATCAGGCTACTTAAAATATTACGCACCCACTGAATAACAAGTTTTAGACAAGAGTAAATGTAATCTTTTGAGGATTTTGCACCCTGTACAAACGCGATCTTCCATTAGCGATGGAAAACCTCTACAAAATTGTCACAATTCCAGAAAAATACCAGCACTTTGCACTTGTACGCCTTATCTGGTACGTCTTCAGTCTAAAAATTGATACATTTGTTTCTTAAGTAATCCCTGTCCATCACCGTCCACTATGTCTTCTTTTTTGGCTGATTTTATCAAGACGTTTGAAAGCCAAA